AGGGCCTTCTTCTACATGGAAATAAGGAGGGGTGAAGGGATCAAAGTACTTTGATCCTTGCCTTCCCCCTCCACTTTCTTCGTAAAAAAGTAGAGGGGGAAAGAAGGAATCATAAAAGCTCCACTTAGATTTCTTAATTTTGGCTTAGAAATAAAAAAGTAGAGGGGAAAAGAAGGAATCATCAAAGCTCCACTCAGATTTCTTAATTTTGGCTTAGAAAGGGGGGGTGTTATACATGGGGGTGTCTTATACATGGAAAAATATGGTATTTTGTCACATAGAACAGAAAATCCCTGACAGTAAAACGACAACGTTCAATAACCAAGAAGTTACTGTCCTTTTATGTAGCATCTGCTACATAAGGCTGCCTTACTCTGCCTAACGAAGGTGCCAGCCTTGCCAGCTTGTCCCATGACTCCATTGCGTTGCTGTTTGGGCACCTTTGATTGCAGTCCATGGTCTGGCCTGGACACAAAATCACTCTCTGATGCTTTCGTATTGAAATAATTGAAAAAAGATAAACCTTTGTGCCTCAACTATACAATGTTTACTGGATTAGGCCACGGGTTTTAAAAAAGTCATCTGGAAATACCCTAATTTGCGAAAAGATAAATGGGAGATGAATATATCCAGGTGGGTTTATTTATTTTAGTCATTTATTTAGATTTCCTTCCTTGATTAAGTTCCAAAGGCTCTGCCTAATTTATCAACATTCCTGAAAGAAGGTCTCAGCTGAGAATGGCTTTTTTCTTTTCTCCCCCCCCCCCGGGCCACCCAAAGAGTTTCATGGCCGAGCGAAGATTGTATCCAAAATGCTATGGAAAGACCAGCAGACATTAAATCTTCCATAAGACTATCTGTACATGAAATAAATATTGGCAAAAATAAGCAATATCACCGTGTCCAGGGTTGTGTCAGTCATTTACAAGCAGCATATTGATGTCTGCCGCCTGGTTCTTCCTCACCGGTTCATACCATCAATGAGGATGTTTACAGTTGCCAGAAACTAACTAGGAAGAAAAAGCAAATGTCGGGAAAAGTGGGAACTCAAAAAGACAAGGTGTGATTCGTGTAGGGGAACTGGCTTTAAAGCCTGGACAGCCATTTCTACTCACTGCAAACTGGTGGTATGTAGCGATGGGGCTTTTGTGTTTGAAGGTCTTCCATCCTCATAAATTGGTGAGATCTCCCCAGGCTGAATTATGGCACTGAAAGCCCTCAATCTGGCAGGAGGTGGTGTCACACCATCACCTCCCTGCCATTCCCATGCCATTTCTCTGTTGAAAGGAAAGAAAAGCAACCTGCTGGAGCATGTGAGTTGTGAGGATTCCCTGCTATACACAAAGACTAATGGGACAGCAAGTTCTGATAGAGGCAGCCTCCCTATAAAGCATATGTAAGCAGCTTCCTTTTGAATGCATCTTCCCATGAACCTTTGAATGTCACAGGGAATCCTCATGGCTCACACATTGCAGCAGAGTGGTGATTGTTTTTCCTACTCCGCAAAAATGGCATGGGAACATCAGGGAGGTGAGAGGGATGCTCTACCTTTTGCTGGTTTGTGGGATTCCACACCCATAATTTGGTCTGAGAAGTTTTCACCAATTTATGGAGAACATCAGAAGAACCCTGCTGGATCAGGCCAAGGGCCCAACGAGTTCAGCTTCCTCTATCTCATGATGGCCCCACCAAATGCCTCTGGGAGCACATGAGACAACTAGAGACCTTTCCCCTGCATCTGACATTTTGAAGTACCTTCCTTCTAAGCTTGGAGATTATACATCCCCATCATGGCTTGTCACTTGCGATGGACTTTTCTTCCAGGAATCCGTCCAATCTCCTTTTCAAGGTATCTAGGCCAGATGCCATCACCGCATCCTGTGGCAAGGAGTTTCACAGACTAACAAGATGTGGGAGGCGAAAGCCATTGAAAGTCCTATCCTGGTGGCAAGACTTACAACCACATAAGGGTACTGATCTGTGTCAGACCTGTGCAATATCAGCAACCAAAAAAAAAAAAAAAAGCTGAGGTGAGCGGAAGTGGCTGGGGAGAGAACCAGTAGATTTGTATACTTGAACCTATCATGGCATTTGGAGGGCGTGAAGCATCAACATCATGACTCATGCGCTTTCTTGTAGCCCAAAACCTGGTAACTGTGTTATCTGGGGGAAATGATACCCGTGGGCTGTTGGCGAGCCTTCCACAATCCTCAGCAGCAGAGTAGGGCTCAAAAAGATCCCTTACGTATCATGGGTTCAACAGAAGTAAACTAGAAGACGTGCCAGTGAGTGTAGCAATTGTTGATCACATTTTGCTGCCTGTATTGTTAATCTTTGGCAAATCCATTATTTAAAAAATTAGTGCCATAGCAAAGTATCATTTGGTGAAATGCTCTATCCACAGGAGAAAGTCTAGCTTCTCCCAAGGCAGGGCTGGGATCCTCTGAGTCCATCTGCATGTTCATTCCATTAGAGTCAGAGGGATAATTAGAAAGACTATTCTGTTGCAGGCGGTCAGCGCTACTCAAGACGTACTAGTAAACTGAAGTATATGGGTCAGAGTTCGGGTGGGGTCACGGGGGTCGAACCTGAGTCAAGATGTCAGACCTGAATGTTTGTGCAGACTAACTGAATAAAAGAGATGGTAAATGTCGTAGTATTTCATCACCTGAATAAATCTGGTTCAATAATGATATAAATACTTTAAATGATGCACTAAAGATAGGCAGACAGTTGATGTAGATGGACTGGTAGATTTCCGAGTGACCTGCAATAGATCAGCATGAATAACCGGACTCACAAAATGTTTAATAATGGTGATAACAACAACAGCAAAATGGTCATCCCAAATTCAGCTATGAAACCAAAATGTAGGGCAGGGGGAGAGCCCATTTCTGTGAGACACACACCGAGGGTCTAATTTTGAAAACCATGTGCTCAGAGCTTTCTTTTCTGGATACCTGTGTTTACCTTCTTGAGCCATTGTTACCCTGTTTCCCCAAAAGTAAGACCTCTTCTGCATACCTACGTATACCTTCTTGAGCCATTATTACCGTTTCCCCCAAAATAAGACCTAACCTGAAAATAAGCCCTAGTAGGATTTTTCAGGATTCTCGTAATATAAGCCCTACCCCAAAAATAAGACCCAGTTAAGTGAAACCCTGCCCTCCACCATTGTGCAGCAACCAGAAGAAGATGACATGACTGTAAAATAAAACATCCCCTGAAAACAAGCCCTAATGCATTTTTGGAGCAAAAATTAATACTGTATAAGACCCTGTCTTATTTTCAGATAAACATGGTATTATTATTCGATGTAGAAATTATTTGATGTACAAGTGCAGTATGCACTTTCTTTTCCAAGTATAGACCTACTTGCTTGTCTTGGGGAATACTCAGGCACTGCAAGTTAGTCATAAAGCAACTATTTATCATTCTATATTTAATAATGCACAGAAGTCATACAAAGAAAGGTTGCACCTTGCAGATGTACCAACTTGGTTGTCTCCAGGATATTAAACACTTCCCAATGAATTTAGAGTCCAATCCCATTGCTTAAACAAAAGCAAAACAAAAAACAAAAAAAACCCACATCCCTATTTAAACCGGGTTTAGCATGTTTTAGAACAATTTAAATTTGGGTGTTTATACGAGGTATGTGCAAGCATGGATTAATTTGAAAGAGTCTTTTGTGCAGCAGCAAGTATTTTCACTCCTCTGCCGGAGATCTGTTTATTTTCCCATGAATGTGGAATTGATTCATTGAAACAAGTTCCACACATGTGAACATCCCAGTCTGCATTATTTTTATTTTTTGGTAATTCCTGCTATCTGATATAGCGCTATGCCAGATAGCAGGAATTTTTTTTAAAAAAAAAATCCATCCCTTGTGTTATCAGCTGCCCGCCCTGTTGATGGGGGAGGAAGCCAGGCTGCTGCAGCGATAACAGAAGGAAACTCAAACAGAAAAGGAAGAGAAACTGCCCAGGAAATGTTAAACAGCAATGCTACTCACAGTGAGAGCCCAGCTTCACCGCTCATCCGCTGGACAACATAATGCTTAGCTGCAGAGACCTGGCTCCAGAAGCGGTGCCACAGTCACTTGGCTGCTGTGTCCTGAAACAGAGGTGATGTGGCTGAGCAGGCACCCCAGTGGTCGGCTCATCAGGAGCAGTGAAGCTGGGCTCTTACTTTGAGTAATGTTGCTGTTAGTTTTAACATTTCCTGGGCCATCGCTCTTCCGTCTCTGTTTGCATTTCTTGTGTTATCAGAGCAGCAGCCTGCTTCACCGCCCATCAGCTGGGTAGCTGACAACACAATGATACATAAACAGCTGTTCAAATGTCACATGACCGTCACATGATTAAGAATCAAATTCCATAACACTGATCCATATTGCATGGCTTATTACTAATGTAACCTCACTCTGCTGTTTACCCATTCAGTTGTTTGTTTGTTGCCATACGGAGAATTCAAGAAACACACAGGCATGTGTAAACCAGACTAAGGATTGTTGGACCTTCTCTTAGCCCTGTCCCTATTTGTCTCACTTATAAGCCACATTGGCCATGTGACTCCTTGTTATATAAATGATACGTACACTGGAATGAGAAAATAATGGCCCTGCAGTTTCCTTTCCATGAGCATTGCAGCAGATTCTAACATTATTAGGTCCTTATTCCCGTCTGAGTGGAAGCACCAGCAAATTCAGAAGTATGGATGTTTACACTCATATCCTCTATAAGGAAGAATAAAAGTAAAGTTAATAACTTCATTGGGTTGAGTGAACAAGAAGAGAAGCTTCTAGAAGTTTTAGACTGTTTACAAGCTTCTAGAATTACCAGTACACTCCAGGGCCCCATAGCTATTCCGAGCCAAAGCTTTTGTAAGTGCCCCATCATTCATCTTCACATCTATTTTTGTAAGCAAACCCTTAGCAGAAAACACCCTTTGGGCATGCTCAGTAGCATAATGTTCATTACAGCCGGCCGGTGGAAAGTCACATGTGACAACACCATGAAAAGTACAGGGATAACTATTCTTAGTCCAGGAATGTATACAGTTCCTTGTTGTGTTACCTCCTTAACCAACCTTCAGAGATCCGTGACAAGTACCTTGACGCTAAACAAATCCAGAATATCGCCCCTAATGAATCTTTCACCAGCGAAAGAACAATCTCAGGAGATTTAATAGCTTTTTTTCTTTAAAAAACATAGTCTCCTTATTTATGACTTAGCCATGGAAAGTTTCATCTGAGAATAAACAAGCCAAAGGGACCGAAGGCAGGGAAAGAATAAGGTAAACATTATCTCCCACTATTTGCACTACAAATGTGAGCAGTTAGATATGGGAAACAGTTTTGCTGGTTATGTGGGGATTCTTTGTTTAAAAAAGCTTTCTTATTTAAGTATGTAAATAGCCATAAAAAAGTGCAACTAACTAAAAAAAAGTATACCGTTTATATATTTGGTATTTAATTGAAGGAAGAAGGGACACAAAGCCAGCTAGCAGCTGTCTCTTTCTATCTCATTAAGATTTCGGATATTTTAAACTTTCCCCTTCATTCTACATCAGTGGAAGTTAAACAGTCACTCTTTTTAAAGATGATAAGCGGAGAATCCATTTTATCATGCATGTGTTGGCGGGGAATGAATCTGAAGGGCCATGGAGTTTGGAGCGCTGTTCTGACAGACTTTTATACTGAGTAAAGAAAACAAATCTACAGCTTTTGCTCTTTGTTGATGTGAAAGCAAAAGCAATTCTGAGTAAATAAATATATCATTTTCCCTCCAGATTGCTAGACCCATGGAGTTTAAGTTTGTCATGCTGCTCTGCCAGAATTACATTCTTCGGGAATGACTAAACAGAGAGGAGGAGGGAACTGAGATAAAACTATAAGTGCCTCAACAGAATAAAAGGCTAGCATACACATACTGGTTGTTAGCCGGTGTGTGTACTTCAGGCTTAAGCCAGAAATCCCTATGATCATTTTGCTGAATTTGTTATTAATTTTCTTTAAAAATTCTATCCTTAATTGATTGGGTTGTCTTAAATGGATAACTCCAGAATTCCAGTCTAATATCTGTTTTATTTTATAAAAGGTGCTATGTGCCTTTTTTCCCCTTCATCCCTTGTCCTTTTAGTATTATATGTAGCTAGTTTTCCCATTTCTGTAATAAAAAGAGACAATGTATTAAAAAGACATTGCTCTGTCATCTTTCCCGTCAAGTATTCTGAGGAACTGTCCATTGAGAATTCCCACTTGAACTCTTTATGAACATTTCCTTAGTTCTGCAATGGAAGAGAAATCATCACAAGAACTGACCTTCAGAGACCAAGATTTCTGCTCTGAGCTGCTAAAGCAGCTAAATATTTTGCGGCAAGATAGAATCTTAACTGACGTTGTTCTATGTACAAGTGACGTTGAAATTCCTTGCCACAGGAATGTTCTCGCTTCAAGTAGTCCGTACTTCAAGGCAATGTTTTGTAATAACTTTAGAGAAAGCCACCAGGAAAAAGTCAGCCTCCAAGGTATTGACCCAGGTATTCTCCATTGTATTATCATTTATGTCTACACGGGGGAAATTGTCATGACAGCGGAGAATATTTTGCATCTAATGGAGACGGCATCCATGCTCCAGTACGTAAAACTATTTGAGGCCTGTTCGGCCTACCTCCAGGACCAACTTACTCCAGACAACTGCCTCAGCCTGCTTAGGCTCTCAGAAATCTTGCACTGTGAGACTCTGAACAAGAAAGCTAAAGAAATAGCTCTGAAGTGTTTCCCTCAAGTAGCCATTTCTGAAGATCTGAAAGATCTTTGCGCCTTGGAATTGATTGATTATCTTGGAGATGATGAGCTCTGTGGAGAGGAGGAACAGGTTTTTGAGGCTCTCATGATCTGGGTGCGGCATGACCTCCAGGCCAGGCGAAACTATATCCAAGACTTATTTAAGAAGGTAAGACTTCAGTATGTCCACCCAACATTTTTCTTCCACTTCATTGCCAATGACTCTCTACTCCAGTCATCTCCGGCCTGCAGGAATATTCTCGAACTGGCAAATAGGCAGATGTTTTCTCTATATAGCGTCAGTGCTCCTGATGTCAAACCAATGTGGCATGTTCCTCGACGATACTCATACCGGGAATTCCTCCTCCTGATTGGTGGCCGCAAAGACAACCGAGAGACAACAAGGGAAGTCTTGCTGTTTGATGAGAAGACAAACCAATGGTTGAACCTTGCCAAATATCCAACACGTCTCTACAAGGCCTCGGCAGTGAATTTGCACAGTAACATTTATCTCCTTGGGGGCATTCCCATTGGCAATGGAAAGAACCAAGTCAGTAACAATGTGTATATCTTCTCACTAAAACTTAATCAGTGGAGACGGGAAGAGCCCATGTTAGTTGCACGCCATTCCCACAGGAGTGTTGCCTATAAAAACTATATCTTTGCCATTGGAGGGATTGGACAGAATCAGGAAATCTTAAATTCTATGGAAAGATATGACAGCATCTACAGTGTCTGGGAGCATGTGGCAAATATGCCAGTTGCTGTTCTTCATCCTGCAGTATCTGCCAAAGATCAAAGAATCTACCTCTTTGGAGGGGAAGACATGATGCAAAACCCTGTCCGATTAATTCAGGTAATTTCTAATCCTCACTGTCCTCTCTGCATTGCACCAACAATATAAGTCTAGGCTTTTAAAAGACTGTGAAGGGAAAGAACAGTGTTCCGTTTTGACTTTTAGTTTGGTTTGAAGGCATAGTAAGAAGGTGCAAAATTATTTTTGTAATTATTGAATAATTGTGATTGTTGTCATAATCTTGTTTTATGGTAGACAGTTTCAGCAATACTCTTAATGACAACTCAAAACTTCACCAAGGATACAGGCATGTAAAAAGTTCAGCAAAGGTCACAAAGTCAGGCAATTAGACAATACATTGTAGAGTTCCAAGAAAAGGCCATGACTTTTATCTCAGAAAACACAGTGTTGGGTACGAAAATAGGAAACGACCCTCCTGACTGGTTAAATTTCAGGAAAGGGAGTTTTCTGAGACAGAATGACAAAGTCTGAGAAAAAAATAGCAGGATTAAGGAAAATCCAGATCATACAGGCATGGTGTAAAGTTATGCCTATGTAAATATGCCTGACATTACACCTAGCAACAAGAAATTGTGTGAGCCAGTTGTGCAACTGGCCACACATTCCCAGCATGACCAGTTATGCAAAGCACTTGCAGAGGTGCTTCATGGCTAGCATTTCTACCTCAGTGCTATCATAACTACTGCGGGTGCACAACTTTAGAGTTTATTTATTTATTTAAAATATTTTTACTCCACCATTTTCCTTAAACGAAACCAAGGCAGCTTACATGATTAAAAGACAATACAAAAGCTAAAAATAGTGAATACAACAATACTAAAAAGGATCAAACAAATAACATATTAAAAAACATACGTGTCAACAAAACACATTCAAAGCAGTAAGGCACAACAGTCCAATTAAAACCCGTACTCGGGCAGCCAGTGACTCAGAGAATGCTTGCATAAAGAAAATGATCTTTGCCCATTTGCAGAAGGACTGCAACGATGGGGCCAGCCTGGCCTCTTGTAGGAAGGAATTCCAAAGTCTGGGAGCAGCAACAGAACCGTACTCACATAGTGCAACAGAGATTTGCCCTTAGAGCCCAGAATGTTTTGCTCTTAAGCAGCACAATATTCATGGAGAAATTCTGTTTCATGGAACCAAGCTATTTTGCAAAGTATTGTGAGGCTAAAAAGGTAAAGGTTCCCCTTGACAATTTGTCCAGTCGTGTCCGACTCTAGGGCGCAGTGCTCATCTCCGTTTCCAACCCATAGAGCTAGCGTTTGTCCGCAGACAATCCTCCGTGGTCACATAGCCAGTGTGACTAGACACGGAACGCTGTTTACCTTCCCACCGAGGTGGTACCTATTTATCTAATTTCTGCATTTTTGCATTTTGCAGGCTTTCGAACTGCTAGGTTGGCAGGAGCTGGGACAAGTGACGAGGGCTCACTCCATCGCGTGGATTCAATCTTACGACTGCAGGTCTTTTGACCTTGCAGCTCAGATGCTTCAGCAGTTTAACCCGCAGCACCACCATGTCCTAGATACCTTTATTGTGGAGACTACTCTATATATATATATAGTACTCTCCACAATAAAGTTTTCTCTTAACTATATATATAGTTAAGAGAAAACTTGAAAAATTAGGTGTTTTAAGACCGTTATCAAACTTGACAGCTATTATTAAGTTCCTGCTAACTGAGAACAGAAGCAACATTCCCAACCATGTCGTCCTGTCATTTTCACATTATACTTCATAGGGCAGCTGCCGATGGTTTCAGAAGAGCTAGTAAGCACAACTGGCCTCTTTCCTGTTTTCCAGCTGCTAAATACCGGGATTATTAAATCAAGTATCAATCCAGTTTTAAGAATGCATCAGTAACATGCTAAAATGTCATAAGTTGTTCATAAATGTGGATGAGGAGGCACATATAAAACAACTGCATTACAAATGACAAGCCGTGGTGCAATTGGTTGAAATCTGGTTTGTTGTAACGTGACAACCCACCTCTGCTACAGCCAGCTACAAAACACAATCTCAACCCATGGCTAGTTGTTGGCTTCTTAAACTTGAGTTGTTTATCACAGCACCTTATCATGATGTTTAAAGGATGGTTTGTTTCCCCAGCTGAAACAGGAATGATACATGCAAACCAAAAATAGGAAGGACAGTCCAGTTTTGTATGGCCTGCTTTGCAACTCACAGCTTAAATAGTAAACAATAGCAAACACAAACCATAGCTCACTGTGAATTGTAAATGTAACCAGAATGTGCATAACAATGAAAACATTGCTATGTGAAAGGCTGCATCTTCAAATAACCATTTTAATATAGATCTCATTCATGCGCCCATTGTTCCCAATCTATCAAGTGATGTAAATACTTAAGCCTACATATGTACATAGGTCTCCAAAAGTGGATCAGAGCAACTAAATTGTATTTTTCTATGTATAAGACTATACTTTTGTCTAAAATCTTTAGACTAAACATTGAGGGCCATCTTATACACGGAAGTAAGCTGAGGAGAGGAAAAAACAAGTGGAGGGGAAAGCAGAGATCAAAGTGATCGTGCAGGGCTTTGATCCCTTTCCCCCTATACTTGCTAAGCCCCACTTAGATTTCTTTATTTTGGGTTAGAAAAGTGGGGGGCGTCTTATACATGGGGCGTCTTATACACGGAAAAATATGGTACACCTTCCTATATTGTCATGGTCATGTCTGTTATACAGTTGGAAATATATCATCCAATCTGAGGGTTCATTCTCAATCTATATTTATTTTTCAGGTATACCATGTGTCTAGGAACATGTGGTTCCGAATGGAGACAAGGATGGTGAAGAATGTCTGTGCACCAGCAGTTGTGATTGGTGACCGAATTTATATTGTTGGAGGTAATATTCATAAAGGATTTTAGAATGTTTTTGCAATGAAAATGTTCTAAAACATAGTGCCAAGTGAGGTCGCTGAAACTATCTTTGGAAATAGTTAACATTTTTAACCTCCTTGTCTTCTTGAGCTAGAACTACGACCACCTCTTCGCTACAAGAGGCAGATATTGAGAAGTCTGTCTGTGTGGTTGACATGCATTATGGCTATCTATCTGATTCACATTCTTTCTTGTGCGTGAGTTTTGTGCTGGAAAATAAAAATGGATGAAATGGATATGAGGGACAAAAAAAAAGAGAGTTCAAACTAAGAAGGCAGCAGATATGACAAAGGAGGACTTCCAAACCATCTTTCGATGTGCTCCGTCTGAGTTTTTGTGCCAACAGTTTAGCTGACAAGCTTAAGCCATAAGCCTTTTGGTCTCCTTAACAAAACACACAAACATTTCATCTAATTTCAAACATAATTCAGTCTCTTTTCAAGTTATGAGATTTACAGCCTGCAAGTGTTCATCTGCCAAGTTTAGTATGCCATAACATTATTCAGTTGTTCCGGGCTTATCAGAGACAAATGCTGAAGAATCATAATAATAACAAACAATTTTTCACTGATTTTTTTAAAAAAGCATGCAATGTATTTCCAGGCTTCCTTGGGTAGTTTGCATCAAAAGAAACCAGAGTTCAGTGGTCCCAGTGATGGAATTCTTTCTGTTAATTAGAATGCCTTGTACTATTAGACATAGGCATTTTTGTAGCTATCACCTTCTGCACTTATGTCTATATGAATCTACATGAATTCTGAGTTGAACCACCGCAAAACAGAATATACTTGCCAATAAGAATATAGCAAACAGGCAATTGGTTATTTAATTTAGTACAGTATTACTGTTGTATATTTATTGCTATCCTCCTGGAAAAAAAATTTTTTTGCTTGTGTGGATACAATGCATTTTAACTTGAGTATTTAGGGACATGATTTTTATTCCACTTCAGGCAGCAAAATATCTTGGGCTGGCCTTGTCTGAGGTCTGCTCCCAAACTAGGCTTGTGACTGCTCTAGTTGTAGTCCAGAAACTAATGAATACTCATTGAGGTGACAAAGTTATGAAGACTGGATTGGACTGTTGAAAGATGCTCACTGCACACAAAAACCCCAACCATACGAAACCAGGAGGGGAAACATATGACCCTCAAGCTATTGTTGTAGTGCAATTTTCAGAATCCCCCGTTAATGGGCATGCTGGTTAGGATTGGTGGAATTTGTCATGTGATGAAATCTGGAGGGTCACACTTTGTTTACTTCTGTCATACACTGCCTGTTGTTCTATGTGGAAGCCTTTATGTGACACATTGCAATCTGGCCCGGCAGTTTTCTTCACAAAGTTGCAGGCTACGAAAAAGGAAGGCATGATAATGTGGTAAAAATGAGCAGCGCAATTTGCATGACTTATTTGCCACATGGGCCTGTTTTCATAGTGTTACATCGATATGCCACAGCCTGCAGCTATGATCTAAGCCCAAATTACTATCAGACATAATTCTATTACTAATGTATGTTTGCGTAAGGGAAATCATTTAAGTCTTGGTGACAAATTGACACTCACTAACGGGGTGCTGGATACATTGCTGGGCACGCACTGAATGCCTGTTAATGAGGAGTAATTTGCTGCCAAGATTTAATGTGATTTCCCTCAATGAGAGAGTCAATTGGCAACAGGACTCCAACCAATACAGTATATTATAGTTGCAATCAGCCTTCATTTCAAAGATATTAATCACTGGTGCTTCTCCTTATGCCATTGGATGTAAAGGATTTTTTATTTCACTCAGAATTATGTACTTTTATTTTTCCCTAGGGTACACCCGACGAGTGATTGCTTATGACACCAAGGCCAATAAATTTGTGAAGTGTGCAGACATGAAGGATAGGAGGATGCATCACGGAGCTGCAGTAATCAATGAAAAGCTATATTTGACAGGAGGTCGTTGCCTTACTTTTGATAATGCCATCGAAGATTCCGATTCACTTGAATGCTATGACCCTAAAATGGATGCATGGGTTTCAAAGGGGCATCTACCATACAAACTGTTTGATCATGGGTGCCTTGCTCTCCAGGGTGTTCCTTGTTCCAACCTATTGTGAGGGAGGAATTAAGGAGAAAATGTGTCATGTTTTCCCAAAGGGAAAGACCCAGATTGAAAATTGTGTGGAAAATACCGGTAAATTATTGCCAAGGAAGGAGGCAAAAAGGACTGGAGTGTGGAAATTGAGGTTTTGGTTTGTTTCTTGCTCTGATTTCCATGCCCCATAGTAACATGAGGAAAAGTGAGGTATTTTGCCTCAAGTTGCAGATTCAGGATATGATTAAAGGACAACATAGGATCTATCATTTCATTTTATCATGTTTATTTTTAACATGAAGGATATCAATGGTTCTTTCTGCCTCAAAAACCAAATGTATGGTGCCCTCCACCCAACCTTCTGTGAACTTTCCTCACAATCTGAAGGACCATTTTGAGAATCAGTAACACCGAGGAAGATACAGACAGACCGTCCTATACCCCAGCTCCACAGTTTTGCTCATCATGGATCATACTACACAGAAATTATACTATACTTGGTAATGTGTGGACACTGCCCCAGCTCTGAAGCAGACAGAGATGATGGTGGAGCCTGGCATAGAGAGTGTTAGTAGTAGGAGACAGGCAGAATATCAGGCCCTCAACTGAAAGCGAATCAGCCATTTGAACTATATGGGCCAACATTGTTATGGAAGGAAGACCTGGAAGGAATGAGTGTGTGTAGTGTGTGTATGTGCAACAGCTTAAAAGTAGCTTGGAGTGGAGGGAAGGAAATCAGCTGAGCAGAGAGAGGATAATAGGGGAGTAGTATAGGTCAGAAGCTAGCAGGGTCTTGCCCTGCTCTCCCATCAAGGCCAGTTAGATTCACAGAAAACATGTTAGTCTTCCTTCAGGTCTCTTTCCTCATTGCTCAACCTCTTTCTCTCCCTTTGTGAGGTGAAAGACTTTTACTTTGATGCTCACCAGGACATGGGGGAGGGTTGCAGTTTGGTGCCTGTGTTTCTTAACTTCAAGCCTTCCCTCAGATGTTAGAATGGTTCCAAGGGCAGTGTTTTCCTTAGTGCCATAATGTGTTTATCATTTTAATGCACTTCTCATTTCCTTTTGACTAAACAGACCTGACAAAAATTATGAAATAAATTGATGCAAAGATAAACAAGTATGCCAGCTTTGTCCTCTGCCTTATTTTCTCTCGTTCCCTCGTCTCTGCATTCGCAGCGGCTTGAGCGGAACAGGATTCTTGCATATGACCATTTCTGAAGGAAAGTATGAAAAGAAGGGTTATTTCCCTCTTTTGCTTAGCGTTTAATTCCTACAGGGATTTGAGGAACAAGACTGCTTAAAGTCATTTGCTCAATTCACGGAATTCTTATTATAAATGTCTGGATGTGAGGGGCTGAACTATGACCAACTTCCTTACATCAAGGAGCAACTCCAGAGCTTTAACTCTAATCAGATGTAGGTGAAGTAACCACAAATGGTATGTGCTCAGTCTTCAACCCCTCATGGGATAAATTGTCATTTTCCTGAGCATAGGGGGAGAAGAAGAGCACCCAGATACATATTAATCATTCCCTTCCCTCAGGCATCTAAGCACCAAACTTATCTTTCCTTCCTCCTTCTTCATCCCTGGTTTCTCTTATGGGGTGTCTTGCATTTTAGGTAGGAAGTCTGAGGACAGGGACTATTTTACTGCTATACTCTAAGCTTTTCTGCGAGACTTTTTGCAGTTTAAAGGTGGGGTAAAAGTGCAATCAATCAGTTGGGGAGTGCAATTCTGTTATTGACCAGGAACATGATGCTTTTTGATTGGTCAGGTCTAGCCTATCCTTCTGCCAAAGTCTTTTCAGAATGCTACTTTCCTATGGTAAGACTTCGGGTCCCAATCCCAGTGAAAATATACAGTAGGACCCCTACTGTATACGGAATCGGCATCCACGACTTTACTCATCCACTGTTTGCCACAGGCCTATATATACAGCATAAGGGCATTTCCTTGTAGCCTTTGTCCTGTCCACATGTATATTGTATGTGGGGTTCCCTTGTATCTGCAGTTTCAGGCATCCACAGTAGATCATGGAACTGCTCCCCGACAGCTGTGTGGGTCCTACCATAGTTTCTAGGCCAGAACATAGAAGTAATGCATTAAAAGTATCATAATATGCTAAACATTAGTTGCTACATCTCTCTTAGTGGCAGTGTTGTTATTTTGAGTGTTAGCCATTCATCACTGGAAGATTGCCAACCTCCTATTTGTCAATAGATGGAGGACCTTAAACCGCAGAAGCCTCTGTGCTGCAAGGTCAGAAGACCAGCCGTCGTAAGATCGAATCCACATGACGGAGTGAGCTCCCGTCGCTTGCCGCAGCTCCTGCCAACCTGGCAGTTTGAAAGCATATAAATGCAAGTAGATAAATAGGTACCACCTCGGTGGGAAGGTAACGGCGTTCCATGTCTAGTCGCGCTGGCCACGTGACCAAGGAAACTGTCTTTGGACAAATGCTGCCTCTACAGCTTGGAGACAGGGATGAGCACCGCGCCCTAGAGTCAGACACGACTGGACTAAATGTCAAGGGGAACCTTTACCTTTACCTAACCTGTAATGTCAATGAATTACTTTTTGCGAAAGTAACAGTACTGCTTTTTGAAATAACATTTCTTATGTTTGATTACCATCCAACATTTTACAGATTAAAATGGTGGTATATTTGTGACATGCCTGATCTTGGATGGAAGACCTTTATTAGAGTTGTATTGTCTCATAATCTACTCTGCCAGTTGTACTGGGACTATACACATGAATGAAAGATGGGAATATGATTGCCTGAATAAGTGGCTACTATACTGGTAGGTGAAGAAAACTCCTGGATAAAGGTGGCTGTTGCAGGGGAAGCAACAAACTCAATCAAGTCAAGCTGGGGTCTCACAGAGCATCTGTTCTCCAAAATGTACCTGATCAGTCACTGATTATATTTTGTATTTTCCCCCCACCACACATGTGGTGTAAAACTTGTCACAGTTCAATGACAAAATCCGTTATTTTTTCCCTCCTGAAAGTGGTTGGTCGGCTGGTTTGCTTTACCACTATGGCAGAATCCATCTTTCTTCTCTTTGCTCCCTCAACCAATCTTCCTTCTTTTATTCCCCCTTGAGAGCACACTGGTTACAGTGGAGGTCAGCTGAAGACGCTGCTCCGGACATCACTACAACCTGGAGTAGTGATGTCCACAAAGTCTCATGCTCAGCCTGGAGCTGCCAATGCTAAGCATGAGATTTTGTGCTTACTGATTACTGGAGGTGAATCAGGAACAGCAGCAGCTACTTGCTTGGGAAGGATGTATGTGCATTACACATAAGCCGAAGACAATGCAGACACAAAACTTGTAAGCCCCTTGCTCAGCCACGACAAAGAAGGACAATCTGGGAGAATATGGGAACTTTCCCTCTCATATGGAATATTCTTCAAATGCTGAGTTGGACAAAGTTCTTTCTTACCCACCTTCACTGGGTGGCAAAAAACTGTAAGAGGCAAGAATGTGTGTGTCTGCTTTGTGTTGTTATGACAGATATATACAGCCCCCTGAGAACATGTAAAAGCACAGAGGGTACTGTGCCACTGAGTCTATGGATGTTTCTCAGCTGTGATTCATATATCTACAGACAAAGTAAACATCGTAGGCCAGGACTATTGGAAACCGCATATCAGGAAAGACCATATTGTTCCTTCTCTCCTCAGAAAAAGAAAAATTCCCCACTGTCCAAGAAGCCACTCCAAGTATAGACAATTTAAGAATATTCCTGATGAAATAGTTTCATTTATGCAAATACTCATTCATGTGTGCACACATACACATTCCTGAATTTCAATTTCTGATGGATTCTGAAATCACCAAGAAAAAGACCATAGGCTATAGCTTATGGAAATTAATGTCTGAATTGTGCAAATACAGATGGATTCAATCTTCAGGGGCTTCCATTTAGTTGTGTAGGACAAAGGAAACTGAACACACTCTTCGAGGCAGTGTCGACGGACACCCATAGGGTTTTAAATTCCTGTGTGGAACAAGAGGTACATCCAAGTAAGGGCGAAAGACAGTGTCAAGTACGTATGTACTGTATTGGTTGGAACAAAAGACTCCAATTGGCTGATTATGTGTTTTACATTAAACTCCCTAGTCAAGCAAGTCTACTTGATCCAGTAAACATCTTATGTTTTAGGTCCACAAAAAATGAATAGATTTTGCCTTGTTTCAAAAGTGGAGAATTTAAAATCAGATTTATTCTTAATCCACAGTCAGCCTTAACATTTGGAAGAGTGGAGGGGAAGTTGCCAAAGGAGGGAGATAATGGATAGTGTGGAAGACGTATCCGGCCCACCTGTTCTTTTCTGTGTGCCATCAAGTAAGGCAGAAGATGTTAAACTCCTGCCAATTTTGGCTCAGGCAACAAAATGTTTTTAGTTGACCATGTTCCCATCTCATCTCATCCCGGTGGTACCCCTAAGATGACAGCTACTGTAAATTCTTCTGGGCAATTTAAAAAAAAATGTTCTCAAGGTATTACTCATGGTGGATGTGCCATGTTCAGCTGACAGAAACCACATGAGATATAAGCATATCTCCACATTCCATATGGATTCCATATATTTTCTATATTACATTAATAAAAGCAACTGCACAGTTTACCCTATTATGCTAAAGGCTTTCTATTTGCACACACATACAAAAACCCCTCCAAAATGGCAGGCAAATATGGTTGTTAAGGAGTAAAAACTATCTCGAGGACTGTGTCTCTCGTTATGAGCCTGCTTAGGTGTTAAGATCATCCGGTGAGGCCTTCCTCTCAGTCCCACCACCCTCACAAGGTGCGCTTGGTGGGGACACATGAGAGGGCCTTCTCTGTTGCTAGTCCCAGACTTTGGAACTCCCTCCCACAAGAAGCTAAGCTGGGCCCATCTTTGCTGTCCTTCTGCCAGCAGGAAAATACATTTCTCCTCAAGCAAGCTTTCCCTGATAGACTGGCTGCCTGAGTAGGGTTTTTTAATGGATGGTTGTATGTTACAGATTTTAACGTGGTTTTGGTGTTGCTTTTGTTTGCCATTTTTAGTGTGACATTTGTTTGATCCTTTTTAGTATGTGTATACTTACTATTTTAGATTTAAATATTGCCTTTTAATGATGCAAACCACCTTGGATTCTTTTTGAGAAAGGTGGGGTAAAAATATTTTAAATAAATAAGTAAAATTAAATATACTCTTAGCCAACACACTAACTAGGTCATATTATTACCTAGGTTTACCAGTCTGCTCTCATTAATGATTAAGTGATTAATGTTCATGGATTTGTCTGTTCACTGAAATAGATGAACAGAGTTTGGACAATTGAAGTTGCAGTCATAGTGTCAAGTAAAAAGATTGCACCTGGTAGAGATGTACAGACTTGGGGGGGTGGCGCTTCCTGGCTACAACTCCCAGATTCCTTAGGCAGCCTAGGGAATTCTGAGAGTCATAATTCAAAAAATACAAAACTGAAG